TTCCTGGCAACTGCGAAAGTGCTACAGGAGCGAAGGACCATTCGAAAGTACTGCCTGTTCAACGATTTCGAGAGAGAAGTAAAAAGCTACGGATTATTGGTCAAAGAAATCCTTTAGGTACTCTCCTAACCCCTCTTGATGCAGTTCATCCCTTGTTTAACAGTTCAGCCTCGACTTTTGGTCAAATTTGTTTTTCCTGATAAAGGACACAAAACAAAAGATCTCATTTGTCTAGGTTTAATCATTTAATTATTAACTCTTTCTTTTTGCTGCTGAAAACACATTTACCTAGTCCTGTGCCACACTTGTAGAGTGTGCAATCAACGATAAGGAAAAACCTACCTCCTCTGGGTACTGGCAGGAAGCTCTCGATGGAAACATGAAAGTGTGGATTGAATTAAGCGCAACACTGTCAATTTTGCAGTTAGTAAATTGGTTGAAGTGGACAAAGTGATTGGAGAATGAGGGGTAGCAAAAGAGGAAAAGAAGGCGGAAAGGAAAGAAAGGGGGCAGCTATTGATAGGCGGTTTGTCTGTTGGAATATATTTGTGCGTGTTCAAACGGAAGCGAATGTTATCTACCTTTCAGGTTCCTGACAGAACCTGGGCATTCTTTTTTGGCATTCCTTAAGTAGTTTCGTTTAGTCTCCTTTTCTGCATGATAGCTTCGTGAATTCGTCTATCTATAAGACGGGGGAAGTTATTTCTAGTCGTCACACTTTATTTCCCAAGTGTGACTGTATAAGGCCAGAAAGAGGTGATAAACCTCGCTTGTGGAGCACAGTAGAGGCGTCAGTACCTGTCTTCCATTCCTAGATGTTATATGCGATCGTGGTTTGTACTGTCCTGCAGGAATATTGCACGATAAGGCAAAACTGATTAAATTGTTAGAGGTGAAAGTATTGGTTCCTTTTCCATTTACCATTTGAATATCTATAGAGTGAGTATTGCAAATTAAAGGGTTCAGTGCAGAGTCCTTCTTCACACGCATGCACACATATATTACGTGTATTTAAAGTGTTGAATGTTCGGGGGAAAACCAAAGAATTACTTTTTTGTTCG